AACAAACAAAAAAACAGTCAAACAAAAGTTACATTTATCCATTTATTTACATTATGTCTCCTGCCCTTTCCCTGACATACTATGAGAGGAAAACTTTTAGAAGTCAGTTCTCTTTTTCTACCATGTAGGCTCCAGTTATCCAACCCTGGTCATCAAAGTTCATGGAAAACTGATGGGCATTGAAGAAACTCCATATGGAGTTTGTTTTCAATATGGCAAAACTAGCCATTTGGACAAGAATCTGCTCTTGTCTTGACTGCAAACAGTAGTTTGCTGTTCAAATTGGATCTGCAGGACACAAAGAAAAGTGGCTGCCAAACTTTGCCAAGACAGGGTAGGAAAGTCCTACAACAATTCCTCTGGCACAGAAAAGTCTGTCAGATATTCTAGGCCTTTAGGATGAAAATGGATGTGCTAATGTTGCAGAGTAAACTTGGGTGACTGTCCAGGCAGCCAGCTGTTTCTGTTGTTTCTTTTAGTTTTGGAAATTGCTTGTTCTACACTTCCTGTTTACTAAGGTAATGTTATGTCCTTCTGGGGTCTTTGATGGCATTGAAGACTAGATAGTCATACTTTTGATAGAAGGCAAATTGAGTACAGAGCTTTGGACTCATCAAGACAGAATAAATAATGAAGTATCTTCTATAAATATGCCAAACACAAATGGACTGGACATTGTAAGTGTAATTCTTGCTGATAGTTGTTCTTATCGTTTAGAGTTTTATTGTGTTGGAGTTAAAACCCTTTCCCTTTTATTTAGGCAAAAAGGTGGAAATGCTGTGGAATAATCTTTTTTGTTTACTCTAAAGATTTGTCACTCTGATTGGTTTAACAAAAAGCTGAATGGCCAATAGCTAGGCGGGATTTATTGAGGCAGGGGGGATGCTGGGAAGAAGAAGGGCAGAGATGTGGGAATCACCAGCCAGATGCGGAGACAAAGTAACAAGCCATGAACCATGTGGCAGAAAGTAAATTAATAGAAATTGGTGCGTTTAAGATGTAAGAGCTAGTTAGAAACAAGCCTAAGCTATTGGAAGAGATTTTGTAATTAATGAGAAGTCTCTGTGTGGTTATTTGGGAGCTGGAAGGACGGAGGAAAAAACTCCCTACAGAAAGAAGGGAGGGAAAGGAAAATGAGAACAGAACAGAGGTTCCAACCACAGACAAAGAGCTTCAGGCAACAAATCATGCTGAGTGCTGGAGAAACCAGTCCTCCTCAGGGATGAGCTCCCTAATGGGTTACCTAATGTCAGTGATCATCCCTGGTATCATATACTCACAAGTGGTATTAAGCATAGTGGACAGGCTACATTTGTATATTTAGGTGTGTGTGTGTGTGTGTGAGTGAGTGATAATACTAACAATTTTTAAAAAGAGGTCATGGTTTCTATAGGGTGCAATGTGGGGTACACAGGAGGGATTAGAGGGAGGAAAGAGGAGGGGAAAAGATATGATCTTTAATTGATCTTTAATTAAACAAATAAAATAGAAATTAAAAAAAAAGAAAAGAGCAGGTGGCTGACAAGATGGCTCAGTGGGCAAAGGTGACTGCAGCAAGGTGTTAGGGCCTGAGTTTGATCCTCCGATCCCACATGGCAGAAGGACAGAACTGATTCCCAAGTTGTCCTCTAACCCCAACACACTGATCTGACACACAAGCATACCCCAAGCCCCCCATCAAACAAACACATGCTAAAATGGCTTTTAAGGAGCTGGAGGGATGGCCTCGCAGTTAAGAACATGCATTGCTTCTCCAGAGGACCCCAGTTTGGTTCTGGCACCGACATCAGGCAGCTCACCCCTGCGTCTGTATTTCCAGTTCCAGAGAGATCTGATACCTCTCGTCTTTTCAGACACCTGCACACGTGTACTCTCAAGCATACACACAACTATAATTAATAAAGTTCAAAACTGGTTTTAAAATAGACTGATTAGCTTTTTACTAAACCAAACTGTTCATTAGCATTCAAAAATTCAAAATTAACAAGACACCACATGTGACTCTCTGTGTATTTTCCATCTTAATGTGGTTTATCTTTTCCATATTATTGTATTCTCTCTTTAAAAACTTTTCTTACTATTTATAAACTGTTTTTGTGACTATGTATACCCATTTTATTTTCCTTTTTAAGCCTACACACCCTTTTTTGTTGTTGTTGTTTCTGTTTGGGGGTTTTGGTTTGGCTTTTTTTTTTTTTTTTTTTTTTGCTTTTTGCTTTTTTGTTTGTTTTGTTTTTTCAACATAGGGTCTCCCTGTGTAGCTTTGGAGGCTGTCCTGGAACTAGCTCTTGTAGACCAGGCTGGTCTCCAACTCAGAGATCCGCCTAGCTCTGTCTCCCAAGTGCTGGGATTAAAGGCACAAGCCTACACATACTTTTTTAAACAAACTGTACCCTGTTTGGAAGTTTGTTTCCCATCTTTATTGACATAGTGCTTGCCGCATTCTCTCACAGCATGAGACAAATACTAAACTGCTGTGTCAGCTGCCTCATGGCTCAGGTAACACGCTGCTGTCTCATTGTGAGGGTGCCTGGCTCCAGCCCTCAGGCCAGCGGCCACGCCTTCGTAAGCCTTTAAGCACAAGCTGGCCTGAGAGACAGCAGGACTCAGAATTTTCCTTAGTTTTCTCAGGCCCTATGTTTGGACATCCCAGCCCCCACCCCATGTGGATTTTTAGATGGATTTTCTCTCTTTCTTTCTATGTCTCTTTCTATACTATTCTCTCTCTCTCTCTCTCTCTCTCTCTCTCTCTCTCTCTCTCTCTCTCTCTCTCTCTCTCTCTCTGGCAGACACACTCATACACACACACACTCACACACAGACTCACTCACACACACACACACACACACACACACACACACACGGAGACTTACTCATTATGAAAGCTTGGCCTTTAGCTTAGGTTTGTCCCACTAACTCTCACAGCTTAAATTAACCTGTTTCTATGCAGCTACATGTTGCCACGTGACCCGTGGCTTTAACCCTCTCCTCCTATGCCTTGCTCCCCCTGCATCTGGCTGGCTTCTGCCTTTCTTCTTCCCGGAGCTCTCTCTACCCAGAAGTCCCACCTATTCCTCCTGCCTAGCTATTGGCTGTTTCTCTTTCTATTACACCAATCACAGCAACACGTCTTCACACAGTACAAAGGAATATTCCACAACCAAGGGACTGGAGAGAGATGGCTCAGTGGTTAAGACCACTGATTGCTCTTCCAGAGGACCCAGATTTGGTTCCCAGCACACACATGGCAGGTCACAACCATCTGTAATTCCATTTGCAGAGGAATCTGATGCCCTCTTCTGGACTCTGAGGGCCCTGTACACATATACATAAGGAAAAACAAATCAAAAATAATGAAAATAAAATTATTTTTTAATGTTTCTTAAAAGGACAGGGGGAAGGAATAGAAAGAATTAAACAATACGACCATATGACACCCCCCGCCCCAGTTCTCTTGGATATAACCTGAAAAGAATGAAAACTGAAACTCAGAAAGATATTTCCATACATACATAAAGAGCAATGTTATTCACATTTAGTCAAAATGAAGACACAATGCGGGTAGTCACCCATGCATGGATGGATAAACAAGATATGCCAGGTCACACAGCCTTGAGGAGGAAGAAAATTCTGGATGTCCTCCCACATGAATGAATCTTGAAGACATCAGTGAAAGGAGTCAGATGCAACCAGACAAACATTGTGTGACCACTTATTCCTGGTGCCTGGGATAGACACATCCATAGAAACTGAAAGCAGCATGGCCAGGAGAGCCTGGTGTTTGGGATGTAGACCTTCTAGACAGGGATACTGGGGGGAGCTGAGCAACGATGTGAATGTGCTTAATGTCATCGCACTGTATACTTAAAAATAGCTGAAATGGAACTGGGCAGTGGTGGTACATGATTTTAATCCCATCACTCAGACAGGAGGATCTCTGGGCTTGAGGTCAACTAGGTTGACATAGCAAGCTCCTATTGACAACCAGGACTACAGAGAGGGAATCTATCTCAAAAAAGAAAATGAAATGGACTAAACTTTATGCCTGTGCATTCCTGTAATCCTGGCACTTAGGAAGAGAATAAAGAGGGAATACCATGATTTCAAGGCCAGCGTTAGCTATATTTTGAAATTCTGTCTAGGCAGAAAACAAGTACACAAACAAAACAGCCAAACTAGTAAGTACTTAATAGTTTACCATATTAAGAAAGTCAATCAGAAAAGACAACATCATGAAAGAAATAAAAAGAGGATGGTGGCTCACGTCTTTAATCTCAGCACTTTGGAGGCAGAGGCAAGTGGATCTCTGTGAGTTCGAGGCCATCTTGGTCTTACAGAACAAGTTCCAGGATAGCCACCACTGTTACACAGAGAAACCCTGTCTTGAAAAACCAAAAGACAGAAAAGAAAAAGATGAAGAATGGGGAACTCAAAAGAGAAAGGAGAAGGAAAAGACTTACAGAGTTCGGATTCTCAGCCTTGATGGCAAAAGACCCTTTCACAGGGTCACATATCAAATACTTACATTATGGCGGGTAACAGTAACAAATTACAGTTATGAAGCAGCAACAAAAATGATTTTGTGCTTGGGGGTCACCGCAACATGAGGAACTGTGTTAAAGGGCCGCAGCATTAGGAAGGTTGAGAACCACTGGCATAGAGGAACGCTGGGAGCAAGAAAGGACAAGAGCAGGCTGGAGAGATGACTAGAAAATTGAGAGCATTGGGTTTCAACTCCCAGTTCCCACAAGGCAGTTCACAGCTGTCCATAACTCAAGTCCGGGGGACCCAGCACCCTCATACAGACACGCATGCAGGGCACATAAAATAAAAACAAATTTTGAAAAAAAAGAAAGAAAGTCGCCAAGTGAGTCTGGAGCAGGCTGGAAGCCCCTTTGCTCATGTGCTTCCTGTGTTATTTGGTATCTGTCCCTGTGTGGTGTCTGGGGACACAGTGGGACAAGGGACGCGGCATCTCACGAACATGTGTTCTTTTCCAGTTCAGCAAAGCCACTGACCACACCCCACAGTGCATTTACAGGAAGGAATATGTCCCCTTCCCAGGCCACAGACCAGACCATATTTCCAGGTGGTACTCGAAAAGGATAATGGAGGTAAGCAGCATTTATTAACAGGTGGCATTGTGCCAGAGGCTCTGGGATCCCAGCACCTCCAGGTACAGCAGGGAGAGATACCTCCTACAGGAGTTCCTCTGGGCGTCTCCCTCCAGGCTTGTGGTGGGGGCAGCAAGCTTGTCATCATTCATCCATAGGGCACAGCTGTGCTCTGTGCCGCCACGCTCTGAGAGCGTCAAGTGAGAGTCCTGAGTGTTTTGTTTGGCCAGCCTGTTTCTCCCCATCCCACGCGCCCCAACACCTGTTTAAACTCAGGCAGGAGAGAGGGAGGTGTGATTTGTGACCATCAGAGCATCTTAGTGTGGGGAGGGCTCCCCGAGAGACCAAAGGCAGGAAACAAATTCTTCCAAGTTGTGTGGCTTGATGGTAAGGGAACAAGCAGGGGGCTTTTCTGTAAATCAGAGACAATGCATGTGTCTTCTTCTTTTAAACTTTGGGGTTTTGTTTGTTTGGTTTGGTTTCTGGGTTTTGTTTTTGTTTTTCTTTTTGTCCTGGTACCCCCTTGGTAGACCTGACCGGCCTTGAACTCAGAGATCCACCTACCTCTGCCTCTCGAGTGCCAGGATTAAATGTGTGCCTTGTCGCCACTGACTCCACCCCCACCAGGCTTCTTTTAAACTTTGGGAAAACATTGACTCGTCGTCCATTTGCTGTGGGAGGCATCTGTGCAGGTCTGGAGGTCAGAGGGCAAGCTGCAAGACCTCTCTCCTTCCCCATGTGAAACCTGAGGAGCCACCTCAAATCCTCAGCAAGGGCAGCAAGCAACTTTAGCAGCTGAGCCCTCTCTCAGGCCTTGAGGTATGACTCAGGAGGCTTTTTATTCCATCACAGACTGAAATTTTTATTTCAGTATGAACTGAAGTTCCCAGAAAGAAAAGAAGAAGAAGGAGAAGAAGAAGAAGGAGAAGGAGAAGAAGCCATACCTATATTAAAGACTCTACAAGCTTGATGCTTGATTGTCTGGTCAGAACTTCCTAACTGTAAGGGGTTGGAATGTTGCCGACCTAGACCCAAATTATTTAGTCTTCCTAGTAGCCGTTCACTGCCCTTGTGTCCGACCTAACATCCTTGTTGAGATCTGGTAAAATTTTTCGAAATTTATTAACTTAGCTTCCCTCTACCTGAAGATGAGAATGTCATCAGATAGCATCTGAGACTTGTAGCAGAGATTTCTCCACTTTATTAAAACCTGCCTGACTGGTCTCAAAACAATGAAAACAAACAAACAAACCCCCACAACAAAACAAAACCAAACCTTCATGAGGGCCAGCTGTCCAGGATAGCTCAGTACACAGAAGGCCCATGTCACCAAGCCTGACAACCTGAATTCCATCCGTGGAATGCAGTTAGGTAGAAGGAGAAAACCAGTTTCTGCAGGTTGTCCTCTGATCTCCACACGTTTACAGACACACACACACATACACACACACACACACACACACACACACAGTTGTATGTAGTGCACATATATAAACAAACATTTGGCTTTCTTTCACATAAGCCCCCCCCCAAAATGACTAAAATAGGATTCCTTTAAAAAATAATAATGAAATTGTTTCTACATACAATCGACTGTTCTTGGAGACTTGAACTTGTGCTCCCAAGCCCTGGTCACTCATACCTCAAGAATAAATTATCTTTTATTTCCTTTGAGATGCTGCCAGAGATGGTTGTCTTCGGGCTTTGGGAAAGTCCTATCACAATAAATGGTGTCACACTCTCTGTTGGCATCCCTGAGACACAACTCCACTGGCGTCCCCGGGCCATGCACACATCTCTAGTCCGCACTGCCACTCCTAGCTGTGTCCCCGGACTGAGCAGCATCTCCAGGTCATGCGCTTGGGCTCTTGAACTTCCCCCACTGCTTTCTGATTGGAAGACACAAAGGAACTTTAACTGAAGGGAGATAGAATAAGAACTCACAGCCTGGGGCCCCCAGTGCCCAACCACGCTCACCCCAATTCTTAAATATCAGCTCATTACACCACAGCTTCTTGGCCTTTGGCTATGATCAAGTGTAGAACATTAGGCAATCTTTTAAAGAGACCTTTAGACTCATTGCAAACACAGACCCCAACTCATGGTTTAATATGGCTAAAATTAATAAGTTCCAGAGACGGGAGAGATGGCTCAGTAGTGAAGAGCCCCGGCCGCTATTACAGAGGACTGAGTTTAGTTCCAGCACCCATGTCTGTCAACACACTGCCCTCTGTCACTCCAACTGCAGGTGGAAGGACTGACTCCCTCTTCTGGCCAGCATTGGCATCCTCCTCCCCACTCTCAACATGCATATACATACATGTAAATAAATCTATACTAAAAACTTTCCCTGACCCCATGAGCACTACACACAACCGAACAACAGAAACCTCTTCCTCAATATTTTTTTCTGTTCCTAAGGGCTCATTCACCAAACTCTGTAGTGAGCTGCCAGTGTGTTTGCAGCTACAGTGCTACCATACTTCACAATGATCTGAGGCTAAGGGCTCAGGATGAAAATAAAGACAAAGACAGCGGCTCATTCTTACAAGGAGAATGGCATTTATTTTTACAAGAGTGGAGCCTTATATACATACCAAAGGCAGGCATGGTGGAAAAACACCAAGGTCAGAAGCCTACCTTCCCAGGGACCTCCAGCAAAGGATGGACCAAAAACAAGAGTTAGCTTTTAGACAATAAACAGGAACTTGCATGCAGGCCTTACTGGGAGGAGGGGATGAGAAGTGTTTTGCTAAAGGCCCCTAGTAACAAGCAGTCAACAGACCCCCATGGGGGAAGTGTGCAACAAAACTCCATCCCCTTCTCAACTTAATAGCCATCCCTGGCCAGTGCTCTGCTGCCTCGTGTAATCATGTGTGGCATTGCATACTTCTCCTCAAGAGAACCAAAGGTTCTAAGTCAGCTTGCCATGGTTTCCATTTGTTGTTGATTTCTCTTTCTTTCTTTCTTTCTTTCTTTCTTTCTTTCTTTCTTTCTTTCTTTCTTTCTTTCTTTCTTTCTTTTCTTTCCTTCCTTCCTTCCTTCCTTCCTTTTCTTCCTTTCTTTCTTTTTTCTGAGACAGCAGGGTCAAATGCAGAACCAAAAGAAATGCCAATAAAACCCCTGCTGGAGCTGGGCAGTGGTGGTGCATGCCTTTGATCCTAGCACTTGGGAGGGAGAGGCAGGTGGATCTCTATGAGTCGAGGCCAGCTGGGTCTCCAGAGTGAGTTCCAGGACAGCCAGGGCTACACAGAAAAACCCTGTCTCGAAAAACAAAAAACCAACCAACCAACCAACAAAAAACCCTCACTGGCCCCTCTCCTGCAGGCCTGCCATCCAGGGAATGCCACCAGCTCACTGGCTGGATTAGAAAGGGACTCCTGACCCCGGTGGTGCAGATCTTGGGAACTGTGCATCGTATTCTAGCCCAAACACTTGTCTCTCTCTGGCATTGTGCTCTGACTTATTTATGGAACCACCCTTTGAAGTCTGGGGTGCAGGGTGTCTACACATGGTGTCTACACATGGTGTCTACACATGGCAAATCAACCTCCTTTCAACCAGTTCAGCTCCCTAGTGTTCCCTATCTAGTTGGGAAACTGTCCTTAGGAAAACTCTGGTTTCCGAAAGGCATCCCAGACAGAGAAAGACCAGTTTTCTCCTTCCTGGTAAACAACTCCTCACCAAAGAAACAGCTCCTTGCTTTGCAGCAAAGGGAGCTGCAGAGACAGTAACTGAAGGAAATATGAGGCCCCAAAGCCCCTTACCTTGGAAACAGGCAGTTGGGGCAATAAGGCAAGACTGAACCAAAGGGTGTAATGTCAGATCCCAAAGTTGCACTCTGGGTGACCCGGGCAGTTTAATTTTAATATACCATAGTAGCTCACCCTGGGGACGAATGGACTTGGCCAGAGACCTGAAAGCAGCCAGGTGGGACATGGAAAGAGGAATGTCCCAATGGGACAGACAGTTCTGTGGCCCTTGGAGGTCTCTGGTGAACAGTGGAGGCTTCCTCATCACTGGTGTCTCAGCTCCTTGAGAGGTGATTACTGTCACCCACCTGGGCTGGAAAGGACACTCAGCTCTGGTGGGTAACGTGGCCACTGTATATGTCCTTCCAGGATCTCCCGTACAAACACCTGATCACCCACCACCAGGAGCCCTCAAATCGCTATCTGATCAGCACCTATGATGACCACTACAACCGACACAATTATAACCCGGGTGTCCCCGCCCTGCGTACCTGGAGTGGACAGAAATTGCTGTGGCTGCCAGAGAAGACTGACTTTCCTCTTCTTGGTACTTTTGTAACTGGAGATTTCCCCTGTATTGCTCTGTAAGGGAACCACAGATGCATGGGGCTGAGGTGTGCTCCCATCACAAAGACCTACAGGAGCAGCGAGGGGGGGGGAGGTCACAGGAAAATGAGTCCTGTTTGTTGTTCGGAACTGCACTGCTTTCTTCCCTTGACAGCCTCACCTGTATGCTAGGACCAGAAGTGGCTGGAAGCAACACGCTCTCTTCTCCTATGCCAGGCATTACCTCTAAGCACAATGATTGAATCTCCCTTGAGGGTCCTAGGGGACATAGTGGTGACAAGCACAAAATGCTTCAGCCCTCAGGGAATTGATCCAAAAAAGAGGCTCCAGGGAGAGGTCTTACTAGGTACCTGTGGTGCTGACCTCACCTGGTTGGGCGTGTGGGATACAGGCCTGAGGAGAGGCAGGCGCTGTCTCTCTCGGGGTTCAGGTTGGCTCTCGGAGCATAGGAGACTGGATGCTCAGAACGCTGACCCTGGGTTATTGATTTCTCATGTAAGTGATTTCTCCCCATGAAAAATAACCTATAACACCCCTATCCTGTGTATGGTAATCTTCATCATATAAGAGACAGTAAGATTGAGTAAACAAGATTCAGATAGTGGTGTGTACTGTATGAAAAAATAAAACAGGTAAGGGGCAGAATATTTGAGACCTTCTTTTATTTGTTTGTTTGTTTACTTATTGGGTTTTTTGAGACAAGGTTTCTTTGTGTTGCCCTGGCTTTCCCGGAACTAGATTTCTAGACTAGACCAGGCTGGCCTCAAACTCACAGAGATCCATCTACCTCTGCCTCCTGAGGATTAAAGGTGTGTGCCACCACAGACTGGTTTTGAGGATTTTTTTATGTCCTCTCTGGCCTCTACTCCCCCTGCCTGCCCTGTGTTGTTTGTTGTTGTTGTTGTTGTCTTGTTTGTTTTTTATGTATATAATGCTCTGACTGCATTCCTGCAGGCCAGAAGAGGGCACAGGATCTCATTATAGATGGTTGTGAGCCACCTTGTGGTTGCTAGGAATTGAACTCAGGACCTTGGGGAGAGCAGCAGCCAGTGTGCTCTTAACCTCTGAACCATCTCTCCAGCACCCAACCTTGGTTCTTAACAGTCTGGAAAATGTGGCAGCAGTGGGAGACAGTTGTGCCTCCTGATTGCTGGCCTTTGTGCCTCACCCCAGCAGCTCCTAGAGGTGGCATCTCTATCAGCATGACAAGGCCAGGGTAGGCAACTGCTGTGCTGTTCCAGAACCTGATGGATGTATTGCTCTGGTGGGGGATGTGATTATTGTATGTGTTTTCGTTAAGTACTATGTATAAGACTTCTGGAAGCCCTGTGTCACCCCAACCTGGTTTCTCTTGCAGCGCCCCCCACAAACTACGGACTGTTAGAGCAAATGAAGCAAAAGTGGCAGGCACCCAAGACTGGCCTGCGGGAAAGCATTTATACTACGTCCTACACCAGGCTGCCGGTGTGTGCTATGTCCAGGAGGGAGCATGCCATCCCAGTCGTTGCCCCTCGGCTACACCCCATCCCACGCCTCTGAGGAGTACCACTGCATTTGCAGACCAGCCAGAGCCGGCAAGAGAGACCGGACTTGTCGGAGAGCAAGCATCTGCAGATGTAGCCCAAGAATTAATTATGGACCATTGTTATGGGGGGGGGAGTATCTTGGAATCATGATGTGTATTTTATGGTACCGTCTCTGTAAACTCACTGTTTTTGTTCCCACCCCATAAATTAAAGCTCTTTTACACAACTGCAGAACTGCAAAGCCCAGTGTGTGCTGAGGCCAAGCAGACACTGTAGGAGAAAAGCAGAAGAGTCCTGAGCCCATTGCGTTTCTGGTCACTGTGACCAAGTATCTGATAGACACTAACTTAAGGGGGGGAGACTTTGTTCCGGCTCGCAGTTCCAGGGGTACAGCCAGCCCATCATGCTAGGGCAAGGCATGGTGACAGAAGCAGGAGGTAGCTGGCCCCCTTGCAGACTGGGTCATGAGTCAAGAATCAGGTGGCTTCAGTACTTCCCCTCTTTTTGTTTCAGGATCCCAGGCCATGGAATGGTGCCACCTACAGTTAACTCAACCCGGCTCATCGCCCTCAGGCACGCCCAAGACTTGTCAAGATGACAATTGATATCCACTACTGCAAAGCCCTGTAAAAATTTACCTATTTGGGCTGGAGAGATGGCTCAGAGGTTAAGAGCATGGGCTGCTCTTCCAGAGGTCCTGAGTTCAATTCCCAGCAACCACACGGTGGCTCACAACCATCTGTAATGAGATCTGGTGCCTTCTTCTGGCCTGCAGGCATACATGCAGACAGGACACTGTATATATAATAAATAAAATCTTTTAAAAAAATTACCTATATATGTTTGTGTATGCCCACACATAGAGGTCAGAGGACAACTTTTGGGAGTTGGTTCTCTCCTTCTACCATGTGGGTCCTGGGACTTGAACTCAGATCTTCAGGCTTGGCAACAAGTGACCATACCCACTGAACTAGCTCAGCAGTCCCCATCCTAAGTCCTTAAGTTTGATTTCCCATATTCCACAGAAGGGGAAACTGAGGCATAAAGAGGGCACAGATTCCCTCGGATGTTTTTGCAAACTGGTATGCATTTTCAAGGAATGTCAGGTCCAGGGGTGAAAAGGAAACGTACCTTTGAGACCCAGGAGGAAGCTGCAGAGAATAGGAATCGTGGCAGAACAGCAGGTGGTGAGGGAGGGGCCCACCTCATTGTTCCTGAGGTTAGAGGAGAGGTATGCTGGCACAAAGGGAAAGTCACTGGACACTGTCCTCTGCATCTGGGTCCTCAGAAGAGGGCTTTAAGGAGATTGGAATACATCCTGGGGTTGGAGAGATGGTTCAGTGGATAAGAGCACTGGCTGCTCTTGAGGATCAAGGTTCAATTCCCAGCACCCACATGGCAGCTTACAGCTGTCTGTGATTCCAGTTCCAGGGGATCTTATACCCTTGCACAGACAGACATGCAGGCAAAACACCGAACCCATACATACACATCTCCATGATTTGTCCATCCATCAATTTTTCACTCATCTCTTTATAAATACAGACTTTTCTCCAACCCCATATCTATTCATCCATCCATCCATCTCTCTCTGTCCATCCATCCATCCATCCATCCATCCATCCATCCATCCATCCATCCATCCCAGGGATGTCAGGGCAACTAACTTCACTAGATTAATCTAATGTGGTCTCCCGCCCAAACAAACAGCATCTACTTATCTGTTTTGCAGAAAAATAATGAATAGAAAATTGTTCTTAGATTTTTGCAACAGTGAGAAAGAGGAGAGAGAGAGAGAGAGAGAAAGAGAGAGAGAGAGAGAGAGAGAGAGAGAGAGAGAGAGAGAGAGAGAGAGAGAGAGAGAGAGGAGCTCAGCATTTGTTGAGGAGAGGACTGAGCATGATGTCTGCCTGCGGACTGATTCTCTCACTGGCTAACCACCACATTCCAAGGTTCAGAATCACTGGAGCCATGTCTGCTTCCCAGGTGAGGAGGGAAAGTGCGAATTGAGATTCACCGAAAGGCCTGAGGTTACTACACAGTAGGTGAAGCCCAGCACCAGACACTGAACCCAGACAAGTGGCCACAGTGTGCTCATCGAGTCATTGTCCCTTGTGCCTCTCCACAAGACGCCTGCTTGACTCACAGGCCTGTGTCTGTGTGTCTGTGTCTGTGATTTGACACTACAGGCAAATAAAGTGACTCAAAGTTCAGAGCCTGACTTTGTGTCATCCCTTACACAGGTTACGGGCCAGCTGCCAGCCGTCTGCTCCAGGGTAACCTCTGCACATACTCTGGCTCCTTCCTTATTTTTCCAAGTATCCAGAAGTTAGACGCTGACACATGTTAATGGCTCGATAAATGTTTGTTGAAAGACATCCACAATGGATAGATCTGATCCAGCCAGGTAGGGCCAAGGAAGATTTCCCTGGGGAAAGATGTTTAGGTCAAAGTGACAAAGCTAGGGGATGGGCAGGGGAGGAAGAGGGTGACTCAGGCCACAAGAGCATGTAGAATGCTCTGCCAGAGTCAGTTGCTGGGCAGTTGTGGAAAGTTCAGCATATCAATTTTCTACAGCTGCTATAAAAAAACCACCACCAACCTCATTGCCTTAAAGGGGTGTGCACCTATGCTCTTACAGTTCTGAAGATGGGAAGCACTTCCAGAAAACAAGGGGTCTGGAGGGCTACATTTCTTCTGCAGGGTTTCAGGATAAATTCTTCCCTTGTGTATCTCCCCCTAAACCCCAACCCCAGGCCAGGGGCACCTATACCCAGAGTTCACAAGTTCACAGTCCCATTCCTAGGTTCTAGGTCATATATCCCATGCCCTGTCCAGCTGGCTGAGATGGTTCTGAGGGAGAGAGAGTTGACCTTAGCCTCTGGAGACTTTGGCCGCCGAACTTATACATGTGCAGTGCCTTAGGGGAGGAAAGGGTTCATTTGGCTTACACTTCCATATTGCTGTTCATCATGGAAGAGAGTCAAGAGAACAAGCTCAAACAGGGCAGGAACAGGGAGGCAGAGCTGATGCGGAGCTCATGGAGGAGAACTGCTTCACTGTTTGCTCCCCATGGCTTGCTCAGCCTGCTTTCTTTTGTTTTTTTTTTTGTTGTTTTTTTTTTGTTTTTTTTTTTTTTTTTTTTTTTTTCGAGACAGGGTTTCTTCTGTGGCTTTGGAGGCTGTCCTGGAACTAGCTCTTGTAGACCAGGCTGGCCTCGAACTCACAGAGATCCGCCTGCCTCTGCCTCCCAAGTGCTGGGATTAAAGGCGTGCGCCACCAACGCCCGGCTTCAGCCTGCTTTCTTATAGAACCTAAAACCACAAACCCAGGCATGAGACTACCCACAATGGGCTGGGCCCAATACCAGCAGTCACTAATTAAGAAAACGCCCTACAGGTTTGCCTACAGCCTGGTCTTCTGAAGGTATTTTCTCCCAGGTATCCCCTGGCTGCCCTGGAACTCTGTAGATCAGGATGGCTCCAAATTTAGAGATTAACCTGCCTCTGCCTCTATGAGTGCTGAGATTAAAGGCACACACTACCACTGCCTGACTGGAGGTTTTGTTTGCTTGTTTTTGTTTTGTTTTTTTTTGGCACAGGGTTTCTCTGTGTAACAACTGTAGCTGTCCTGGCACTGTAGACCAGGTTGGCCTCAAACTCAACAGAGATCCACCTGCCTCTGCCTCCCAAGTGCTGGGATTAAAGGCGTGTGCTACTACGGCCAGGCCTACCTTCTTAATTGAGTTTCCTTTTGATGACTTCAGTCTAGTTGACATAAAGCTAGCCAAGACACATACACACAATACATTTTAAGAAAGTCAAACAAGTTAGGGATAATTTGACTTGATGCAAGGCATATGCTGGAGGCAGGAGGATCTCTATGAGTACAGCCAGACCTACATAGTAAGTTCCTGGCCAGCTGGAGATATGTAGTAAGACCCTATCTCAAATGATCTGAGATCTGGTTGACCAAGATGGAATTTTCTCTAATTCTTCTCTAGGGAGGCCCTTCTTTCTCCACTCCCAGGCTCTACCTTGGCCAGCATCAGAATGCCCTGGGGGAGGGGGGTCACCGGCTCACCACTAAATTCCTGAATCTGTAGGATAAAGTTGGGCCACTGCCATTGCTGTTCTAACAAATCTTCCAGAGGCTGCCGCTGCTGCACCAGTTTGGAATCACTCCTAGAGGCCAAGATTTCCTCTGTTTATGTGGTAATGTAGTGTTTATGAATTAATAGAGCTTGCCTGGGGTTCAGAATGCAAAGCCAGCCATACTAGCTAGCCACAGAAGCCGGAGCAGTGTTGTCACACACCTTTAATCCCAGGACTCAGGAGACAGAGGCAGATGGATCACTGTGAGTTCGAGGCTACCCAGGGCTACATCATCATTAATCAGTCTAAAAGAGTAACCGAGCCTTCAGTCCCAGCACTAGAGAGATATATAAGGAAGAAGCAAAAGGTCTCATGTGGCAAGTAGTCTCCAGCCACGGTGAAGACAGGATTGCCCCAACCTGGGTAGAGGCAAGAGCCCTCTGGTGGCTTGGCTGCTTTGCTTCTCTGGGTGACGCCAATGCCACGAGCAATTCCGAGGTTTCGGGAAATGAAAGACAAGACATCCAACAGTTTGTGCTAAGAGAATGCGTCTGTCGCCTTTATTGCCAGAGAATGCGTGTGTGTACGTCTTTATTGCAAGTGCTAAGAGATCCCCCCCCGTAAAGAGGGAGCAGGCTTATATACAGGTTTACAGCACAGTGGAAAAACCCCAGGTGTAAAAGAGCTCATGTTCTCCTCAAGCTAGATATTGATTTCAGGCAGGCAAGGCTGGGGCTGTAAGCCAGGACTACAGAGCAGGATGCACCTGTGGCTATCAGCTGACAAGCAATGCACAGAAATCCGTGGGGGCTGGGACCCAACACTCTGATCTTCAGCTTGAACCCCAATATCTGCCTCTGGGTTTATTATTCAAGCTACATGTTTATATAAATGATAATTTCTGTCTCTGAAATGATGGATTCCACATTGAAAAGAGCAGGGGCTGGAGACGGGCACAGTTTTCGCTCAGCACACATGGAAGCTCTGGGTTCCACTCCCAGCATGACAGAAACTGTCGGAGGTATACAAAATCGGTCCTAGCGCTCAGCTGGGAATAGAAGTTCAAGATCATCCTTGTCTGCATAGTTGAGTTTGAGGCCAGCCTGGGCTACATGATGTTATGGGTAGCTCACCAGAGATGACCACTGAGACACAGTTTACAGCCAAATTTTTAGAGGCAGAAACTGTTTCCTGACGTCTTGCTCTCTTGCTCGGCAGCTACAGGGCAGGGCGGGAGGGGGTGGTGCTTTGTAGACGTCAGCAGTTTGCAGCAAGCAGTTTAAACAGGAGCTAAAGTAATCAGTTAGCTGTTGGGGAAGGGGTGTGGAGGGCGGTCAGCACAAACTGGCAGTTTAACAGAAGCTGCTGAAACAAGTGACAAGTTAGCTAGGGCATCCTAACCTTTGGTTCCTAGAATAGAGTTGGGTAATTCTCCATCAAGAAGATGAAATTCTAGTGAAACTTGAAATGGCCTCACCAAGAATACAAGATGGAGGAACCTTTGCATTGTCTTGCCCTGTCACAATGAAATCTTGTCACAGGAAAAAAAAATTATACACACACACAAACAAACACACTAAACTAGATATCCTTGAAGGTTTCCTCAGCTGTAACGGGAGGCCATAACTCTACAGTATTACCGCTGAATCTGTGTCTTCATTTATTCAATGGGTACAGCCGTAATTTCTAACTCAGATAAAAATACTGAAAGGGGAAAATTAATAAAAGTCTAAAACTTAGACACCAAAGCCTATACAGGAAAAAGAAAAATTTCCAAGCCTCTCCGAGTTCCCAAAAAGGCAAAAAGGCAGCCCCTGACAAATAAGGCTAAACAAAGAACTGGTTCAGAGGTCTGGAAACAGATAACACCCCCAAGCTGTGTCAACATTTCTCTGTCCTAAAGAAGATCAGATAATTGTCAACTCAGTCCCTGCCTAGGAGATAATTAACAAACTTATTTCTGAGGAACCAAAAATTAAAATTAATAAAAGTTTAAAAAACTTAGGCCCTGCCTGGAGGTGTTGACACACACCTTTAATCCCAGCACTCAGGAGGCAGAGGCAGGCCGATCTCTGTGAGTTCGAGACCAGCATGGTCTACTAGAGCTAGTTCCAAGACATCCTCCAAAGCCACAGAGAAACCCTGTCTTGAAAAAACAAAAAACAAACAAACAAAAAAAAAACGTAGGCCCTGAAAAGGGAACTTCTAATGACTGAGAATGCTGTTTCTGGTGCCTGAGCCCTGCTCTCAGAGAAGGGGAGGTGACCATCCACCACTTGGGCCAACACTCCTGTCTGCTAATTGCTGGTCATAAGGTTGTAAATATCCCCAGCTCAGGGAATAACCGACAGACCCTGTGACTCTGTAACCCTGCCCCCTGTCTTATCTTACTCAAATGTATCTGGCTTAAAATATATAGTTGCTGTTTTACTCTGTACTTTGTATGACCTTAAGTAACCATGGAATCTTTGAAATTTGTGGCCTTCAACCTTATGGTCTGCCCCTTTAAAAGCTTCTCTTTTTGGCTGATTGGCATCTCATTTCCTCCACCAAGGAGTGAGATCCAAGCTGGCCACCTGAATAATAAAAAGAAATCTTTTGCTTTTGTATCAGAGTGTAGACTCTTTGGGTTAATCTCTGGGCTCTGCAAACCTGGCACAACAATTTCCTCGATAGCTTCCTGCTTAATTTCATCCTGCCCAAACATACAGTTATTGTTTTATCCTATGTAACCATAAAAACTGTAATCTCAAGATATCCAATCTTTTGAACTTTGCCCTTTAAAAACCTTCTCAGCCAAAAGTGGCCCTCTGCTTGATTGCGAACTGGCAAGGTCCGAGTTGCAACTTGAAATAAAGAAACCTTTGTTTTTGCACTTGGTGAATCATCTCCTTGTGGATTTTTGGGGTTCCTCCATCTGGGCATAACAATATCAAATTGTCAGCTTGACAGGATTTAGAATCACCTAGAGACAAACTTATGAGCATGACTGAAGTAGTTCCTTTTTTTGTTTTGTTTTGTTTTGTTTTGGAGACAGGGTTTCTCTGTAGCTTTGGGGCCTGTTCTGGAACTGGCTCTGTAGATCAGGTTGGTCTCGAACTCGAAGAGTTCCACTTGCCTCTGCCTCCTGAGTACTGGTATTAAAGGCTTCACCTGAAGCAAGACGAAGGAACCTTTGCTGATACAGTTCCCTCTGCTAGGGTACAGTGGTGTCTTGGCTATAGAACCCAGCACTAGAAATGTCCTTGGGAATCAGGCTATAGGAGGTAGGAGGGAGAACTCTGGCTCTCCCTGTACTCCCACCCTTGGTGGCCCTCTGGACACCAGTCACCAGTTTACAGGCTACCTGTTTTTTGTTGTTGTTTTGTTTTTTTGTTAATCTCTCTGTGTCTAGCATTAACACTAGAAAACAGGTGTGAGAATAATTCAGAGGTAAACCGAGCTTAGTGGAACACACCTGTCACACTGGCACTCCGGATGCAGAGGCAAGAGGATCAGGAGTCAGTGCAATCCTTGGTTCCACTGCTAGTTTGAGGCCAGTGTGGGTTACAAGAGACCATCTCAAACAAAACAAACAAACACCAACTAAAAAATGGAAGAAAAAAATTACAACCAAAGCCAGGTGTTGGCGGCGCACGCCTTTAATCCCAGCACTCGGGAGGCAGAAGAAGGCAGATCTCTGTGAGTTCGAGGCCAGCCTGGTCTACAGATAGAATTCCAGGACAACCTCCAAAGCTACACAGAGAAACAAAAGAAAAGAAAAAAAAAATCACGACCAAACTCAGCCTTCCCTCCCACCCCAGTGACTGTTCTTGGATAGCGTGTGTGGCTGGTGGTGAACTTAGGTGTATTGCTGCTGAGGCAAGAGGTGGTCAGCCCACAAGGTCACAGACTTGTCATGTCCCCCACAACTTGGTTTTGTCATCTGGGAAAGGAGGTGTTTCAGAAGCCCGTAAAACATAGGGTGGAAGCCTGACCCCCAGTGATTTCTAATGCCAGCTGCCTTCTGGGTTTTGCCTTCATCTAGACTGGAACTTCCAGGGTCCCCACTCAGGTCAAGCTTGGCAGTGTGTGCTATTGGAACCTAGGTCCCCAACTTTCCCCCTCCATTGGGGGAAGGGTTTTCTCACCCTTTGCCCATTTTGGGAGTCCTCCCACTGTGGAAAAAGGCTTTAGCCTTTGTGTGTGTGTGTGTGTGTGTGTGTGTGTGTGTGTGTGTGGTGCGTGTGTGCGTGTGTGTGTGTGTGTGTGTGTGTGTGGTGTGGTGTGTGTGTGTGTGTGTGTGCAAAACATCAAGCAAGTTGCTCCCCCCCAGGCCTCCCCAATGCCGCCCAGAGCCACTCGAGTGCAAGTCAGGCTCCCTTGGAAGCAACATAACTGGGGTAGAGCGCTTGCCTGGCTTGAACAAGGCGGTGGGTGCAGAAAGCAGAGTTCTTGTGCTCACACAGAAGCACTGGGGAAACCAGGGGTGTTAAAGAGGCTCTGTCTGTCCAAAGGGAAAGAAGAAGAACCTGTTTTCTGCCCAGAAGGCCAGGAGCAGCAGCAGCATTGGGGCTGGGAGGTGAATAGCCTGGTGACCTATGCTCTGTCTGTCTGGTGACACCACGCCAGATCTTCCCCCAGACCCTAACATGTCACCTGTACTGTACAAAGCGTTTCGTGTAGTCACGCCTTAAGCTTTGTTGTGCACACAGGATTGTCTTAATTATCACCAGGAGATGTTTTCCGAATTGTTCTCTGCTTAAATATTCCTAAAAAAACAAAAACCAAAAAAACAAACAAAAAAAAAACACAAAAAGAACAACAACAACAACAAAAACCAAAAACAAAAAACTACTGGTGTCAGAGTTTGAACGAGACTGCTGAGTCCTGTTGAACTGGACTTCCTTCTTGCAGCTCTGGGATCCAGCTGGACGCTGTTTGCAGAGAGGCCACCCCCTCCCCACCCCTGACCCACGTGGATTCAGTTCGCAGTGCTCATTCCCAGCACGGCTAAACCTGGCAGAGGCGTACACTTGCAATCCCAGCAGTAAGAATGCAAGCAGAAGAATCTGGAGTGAAGGCCATTAGTTACATAGTGAGTGTGAGGCCAGCCTGGCCTGTATAGGAGAGACCCGATCTCAAAATAAATAAAAGTTAAAAAGTAAAACTGTCGCTCTTGCGCTAACCCAGCAACCCAACACCCAGGACCCGAAGCCTGTCTGACACAGTTTCTCTCTCTCCGCAGACAGGCCTCAGCTTTCTACAGAGGACTGGTAACATCTGGACACTTTAAAACAATCCTGTGTTTGAACAGACCCCTAAGTTTGGAAAGCCCTCGGGCTAGAGAGACAGTAGCCAGCAGACCTGTTCTTATGGAATGAGGGGGTGGTGGGGAAAGGGGAGGAGCTAGGACGGAGGAGGAGAGGAGGAGGCCAGGCAGAGGCTCGATCTTTCCTGGTCAAGGAAGTGCAGCACAATGGCGGCTTTTGTGTATCAGTAGAACCCTGGTTCGAGTTCAGCGGAGACTTCATTGCAGGTATTTATGACCGTTCCAGAGCAATCACGACTCTCCAGAGTAGAGTAGGTTGTTAGGGAAAAGACTCCCAATCTCTCTGGAAGATCCAGTATGGTCTGGGGTAGCTTGAGGATAGGTGTGCATCCTTAGAAATGGGTCACAAGACCTCAAGCAAACCTCACCGAAGGCATTCACACAAACATCAAGAATTGGTGTACCGCTGGGTGGTGGTGGCGGCGGGCAGCGCACGGCTTTAATCCCTGCACTCGGGAGACCACAGAGGCAGGCTGATCTCTGTGAGTTAGGCCAGCAAGGTCTACAGAACGAGTTCCGAGTCCCGGTACAGCCTCTAAAGCCACACAGAGAAACGCTGTCTCGAACATGTCCCCCCATCCCCCCACCCTCTCCCCACCCCCGCACCCCCCCTCCGAAAAAACAAAAAAGATTTGGTGTAAACCAACCACTGCCCGACTGCCTGGTTTCTTTTTTGTTTGGTTGGTTCTTTTGTGTTTTTGAGACAAAGTGTGTGTGTGTGTGTGTGTGTGTCTGGCTGCCCGGAGATTTGTCTGCCTCTGTTGAGATTAAAGGTGCATACCACTTTGCCCAGCACTTCCACGCTTCTGGGTTTTTTTGTTTGTTTTTTATTAAATTAATTATTTTTATTTTATTCATTTATTTGTTTTTGAGACAAGGTCTCATTGTGTAGCCCTGGCTATCCTGGAACTACTAGGCTGGCCTGGAACTCACAGCAATCCACTTGCGCTGGCCACTGAGTGCCAGGATTAAGGGTGTATGACACCATGCCTGGTTTGCCTCCCTCCCTCTCTCCTTCCCTCCGCCCCTCTCTTTCTTTCTTTTGATCTTTTTGTATCTCTGGCTGTCTTGTGATTTAGTTCAAACTAATAGAAATCCTTCTGCTTCTGTCTCCTGAGTGCTGGGGTTAAACTTGTGCCCACACCCAGCTTGCATACTTCCCTGTTGCAACCAGTGTAGTCCGCATGAGGTGGTCTATTTTACATTTACTTTTGTTGTTTGTTTGTTTGTATGTTTTCCCCAGACAGGGTTTCTCTGTGGCTTTGGGGCCTGTCCTGAAACTCACTCTGTAGACCAGGCTGGCCTCGAACTCAGAGAGAGCCACCTGTCTCTGCCTCCCGAGTGCTGGGATTAAAGGGGTGAGCCACTAAGGCCCGGCTACATTTACCTTTTTTAAAGCTTTATTTTTTGTTTCATGTATGCAAGTGTTTGGCCTGCAGGCACCCTGTGAGTGCCTGGGGCTTGCAGGGGACAGAGGAGGGCGGCAGAGCCTCTGGAGTTACAGCCAGTTGTTGGCTTATGCTTTGTGTTTTGAGGTATCCAAGCTGGCCTCAGACCCACACCCTCCCTCAGACTGTGAAGTGCTAGAATAAGAGGTGCAGCTTTTGCATAAAGAAAGAATGTGCTGTAAAATAATAACAGCCGGGGAGGTGGCTCCTTTGGTACAGTATTTGCCTAGCATGCACAGCTCTAGGTTTGATGCTCAGCACCACATAAAACCATACATGGTGGCTGGCACACACCTGTAACTTTAACAATTGGTGGGTAGAGGCCGGAGGATCGGAAGTGAGTTTGAGGCCAGCCGCCTGGAACCCAAGTGACCTCATATTAAAATAAAAAATATAAATAATTAAAAAAACTTAGCCAGGCGTTGGTGGCACATGCCTTTAATCCCAGCACTTGGGAGGCAGAGGCAGGCGGATCTCTGTGAGTTCGAGACCAGCCCGATCTACAGAACGAGTTCCAGGACCGCCTCCAAAGCCACAGAGAAACCCTATCTCTAAAAAACAAAAACAAAAAAACAAAAACTTTTATAGAGCCAGATGTAGTGGTCCACACTTTTAATCCCAACACTCAGGAGGAGGAAGCATGCAGATTCCATAAATTGGGGACCAGCCTGATGGACAGAGAGAGCTCCAGGCCAAGGCTACATAAAGAGACCAAAACAAGCTAACAGGCGAAAGTGATAAGAGAGGCACAGACATCGCAGGTCTCAGAAATGTGGCTGAGCACCTGACCTGAGCTCTGAGATGATGGGTTGCCTCTTTCCACCCCAACTCTTGGCTGGAGATGGAAAGCTGTTTCATGGCGTCTTAAGGGGTACATTAACCCTCTGCCTTCACAGATCACTGGCTCTCTTCATAACCCTCAGCCTGAAGACTCAGTTCCTGCCTTTGCTCATTGAAGGGTGGTACCACTAGCTAGAGTATCCTGGTGACATATTCTGGTGACTCCACCAGGCAGCTTGGGAGTTCTCTGGTAAGTTGCAGAGTTATCGAGAAGTCCTGCTCACTGCCTGGACTTTGGGACCCCAGGGGGTCCTTTTTGGGAAACCCCTGGCTCAGTTGGTACAGTACTTGCCTAACATAGGCAGGCCCTAGGTTTGACCCCCAGTGCCACATAAAACCGTGTGTGGTAGCACAGGCCTATAATTTTAGCAATTGGGAGATAGAGGCAGAAGGTCAAGGTCATCGCTGGATACATGGTGAGTTTGAGAACAACCTGGAACCCAAGAGAAGTTATCTTAATAATGATAATAAATTTTAAAAGGTGTCTTTGAAGAGCCAGGTGTAGTGGACTATACCTTTACTCCCAGCCCTCAGGGGGCAGAGGCTTCAAATGATGGCGCAGGGCTTCAGGTGATTTCACATGGGGACTTTTATCTCTCTGGCTTTCCTACCCTCTCCGTCACTGTCACTCAAACAGACTGAATTGTTTCCCTGTCTGGTTTTGTTCCAGGTTTACAGGTTTTTCAACCTGTGGTTTGAAAGAACTCTGGGAGGCTGGTACCTACCTTTAATCCTACCACTCAGAGACAGAGACAGAGACATGTCTTTATGAGTTCAAAGCCAGACAGGACTACTGAGACCCTGTTTCAAAACAAAGAAACAGAAATCCTTTTTTTTTTTTAAAAAAGTAAAGTAAAAATTTCCTCTAAGAAATGTACAATTTTTTTGGGGGGGGGCTTGTTTCTACTTAATACATTCTGAGCTGGTCATGGTGGAACACACCTTTGATCCCTGCACTCAGGAGGCAGAGGCAGGTGGATCTCTTGAGTTCGAAGCCAGGCTAATCCACACAGTGAGTTCCGGGACAGCCAAGGCTGTTACATAGAGGAAGAACCCTGTCTGGAAACAAGCAAACAAAAACAGAATAAGTTCTGTAATGTAATTATTTGTCTTTTAGTGTGTAAAATAGTGAGAAAAACCTTAATTTGACCTTGAAATTCTTAAATATATTTGCATAGCAAATCCCTGGGAATTTCAGGATTGGGGTTTCTAAGCCAGGCAGTGTTGGAGCACACCTTTAATCCCAGTACTTAGAGGCAGCTGTATCTCTCTAAGTTGGAGGCCAACCTTGTTTTCAGAGTGAGTTCCAGGACTACATAGTGAAATCCTGTCTCAACAAAACAAAACAAACAAGAAAAAAAAACAAACAGAATTGCGTTTCCATGTAATATGCTGCATAACTTCTCTTGGATTTTTTAATTTATGAGTATTTTTTCCACCTTCTTGAAGGCACAGGAAATTGTCAGCCTGGCCGATTTGGCATTCTTTACTCACAAGCTTTGTGATACGTAAAACAGCACTTGACATTTTGTTATTGGTAGTGTGTGTTGTGTGGTGTGGGTGGTCATGTGATGCACATGAGGTCTCTCCTTTTGCCTCATTGATGAACGGTTTACATCTGTGTGCTCAGGCGAGCTGGCCTTGCATCTCCAGGTCTCCACCTCCCGTCTGGCAGTAGTAGCCCTGGGACTACAGATACATGCCACTACATCTGGCTTTGTGGGTTCTGGGGATTGAACTCAGGTCTTCAGACATTTCTCGTGAGTGATTTTACTCACTGAGCCTTCTTGCTGGCTCAGAAAAGAGCACCCCCCCCGCTTTAAAGTACAAGTGGTAGCAAAATCCCTTAGGACTGTATCAAACAAGAACTCTACAGTTTTACACTATGAGGAGAGGGGATATTTGTTACAATATGTTACGCATGTAATTGGATTCAATTCTCTTATAATAAACTGGTAAATGTCTTGTCTAGTGACAATGAGAAAGAAAACGAAGGCTTGGTATAGTGCTTGCATGGTGTGCATAAGCAAAGCATGATCTGGGTTTGTTGGTGTTTGCCTCAAAGCCCAGCATTCAGACAGGACCAAGTTCAAAGTCATCCTTGGCTACATCAAAGTTCAAGACCAACCTAAGCTACTTGAAACTCCATTCTCCACCTGATCTTCCAATAAAAATGTGGCTCTGTCTCAAAAAAAGGGAATAAAGTAAAAGGAGCCATTAAGTAGGTTAGAGAAATATTAAAAAATACCTAGGTTGGGCATGGGCATGGTAACAACACGCCTTTAATCCCAGCACTTGGGAAGCAGAGGCAGGCGGATCTCTGGGAGTTCAAGGCCAGTCTGGTCTACATAGTTCCAGGACAGCCAGGGCTACACAGAGAAACCCTGTCTGAAAAAACAAAAAAAAAGGGAGGGGGGGAATGAGACTGTATTAATGTATTTCTGGTAGCCTTAAAAGAGACATCTTTTTTAATAAGGATTTTTTTTGTATAGTAAAATAAAATTTTGCTCTATTTGTCCAAAAACAGAAAAAGAAAGATGAGGGGAGGGCAGTGGCAGAAAACGTAAGCTTAATGCAGGGGTAAGTCACACGAGGTTAGTGGAGGACTCGCTTAAAAATGGTCTGTGTGAGATGATTGAAAGTTGTTACAATTCTCAAGGTGCAGAGGCCAGACAGGGTGTCAGACCCACTGGGACTAAACTTACAGATGGCTGCTGGGAAATTTTTTTTCTTCAGACAGGGTTACTCTGTGTAGACTCAGCTGTCCTGGAACTCGCTCTGTAGACCAGGCTGGCCACAACTCATATCCACCTGTCTGTGCCTCCTGAGTGCTGGGATTAAAGGTGCATGCCAGGGCCACCATTGCCTGGCTATTATTTATCTGTTTGCATGCTTGTTTATTTAGGAGACTATAGCAGTCATTTACAGCCTCCTAAACTGTTGCCAGCCGAGTTCATTGCTGGAACTCAGAAGGTGACTGTGTTGGTCCAAGGGACTTTCTCAATCCTTGTTCTAGGGCTCTGAGTGATAAAGAACTTTTCTAAAAAGCAGAGTAGGCGAGCCGGGCGTTGGTGGCGCATGCCTTTAATCCCAGCACTCGGGAGGCAGAGGCGGGCGGATCTCTGTGAGTTCGAGGCCAGCCTGGTCTACAGAGCGAGTTCTAGGACAGCCTCCAAAGCCACAGAGAAACCCTGTCTGAAAAGGAAAAAAAAAAAAAAGGCAGAGTAGGCTTTCCGGCCCCCAGGACCACATTACAAGGTGAGAGGGCATGATACAACGGGATCCTGTTTGGAAATGGATGGCTGAAGAGAATCGTCGACAGAGATGTGGCTGTGGGCCTGGGCTGGTTTCCGGGTTGAGAAGGGCATCTTAATCCTTGGCCTGAAAAGGTGTCTCCTCTTGTACGCTGCCTTAGGATCATCTCCCTGCAGATCCATCAGGATGAGCTTCCAGGCCCCACCCACACTCCTGCAGCTGGCAGTGCAGAGCCTACTGAAGGACGAGGCCCTGGCCATCTCTGCTCTGAAGGACCTGCCCATGGAGCTCTTCCCACCACTCTTCAAGGAGGCCTTCAACCAGGGGCAGTCCAAGATCCTGAAGGCGATGGTGCAGGGCTGGCCTTTCCCCTGTCTCCCACTCGGGGGTCTGATGAAGATGAAGATACCCCACCTGAAGACCTTACACACCATACTGTTGGGGATCGATACAATGCTTAAGCAGAAGGTTTGCCCCAGGTAAGGGAGACCGAGATGCTCAAGAGGGAGGAGGCTTGGGAGTCCAGGGTAGGAAGAGCTAGGGTCAAGGAGGCTAGAGAATGGAGGGAAGACTGGAGGCTTGTGTTGGCCTCAGTGAGGAGGATTTCAGAAGTCATGGGACCACAGCTCAGTCATCTAGGTAAAGGATTTGAGTGTTCAGGACTGTTTAGGAATAGACATAGCTATTGTGGTTTCTTTTATCATTTATTCTTTATTTTATTTTTGTGTGTGTGTGTGTGTGTGTGTGTGTATGAATGTTTTGCCTGCATGTGTATCTGTTTGCCGAATGTGTGCCTGGTGCCTGTGGACGTCAGAAGAGGGCATCCGGTACCCTGGAATTGGAGTTACAGGTGGTTGGGAGCCACCATGTGGGTGCTGGGATTCCAACCTTAGTTCTCTGCAAGAGCAGTCAGTGCTGTTAACCACTGAGCCATCTCTCTAGCTCCTCTTTTTATCATTTATTAAAAAATAAAACTCCAGGGCTGGAGAGATGGCTCAGAGGTTAAGAGTACTGGCTGCTCTTCCAGAGGTCCTGAGTTCAATTCCCAGCAACCTCATGGTGGCTCACAGCCATCTGTAATGAGGTGTGGTACCCTCTTCTGTCATGCAGGCAGACAGAACACTTCACACATAATAAATAATTATTAAAAAAATAAATCTCGGGATAAATTTTAAGGATATAACTCCGAATGAACCGCAAATGACCATGGCACACCACCACTACTATCCACTTCCCGGTTCAAAAAGTCCACACAACCCCTGGGCCTCAGCTCTTCCTCCTCTGAGGGCCTCTGCCAGGGAACTCGATGATCCATCCTGGCCCGTCTCAAACCAATGCCCGTGGACATCAGACACAGAAAAATTCCCGTGACACGTAGCTAAGGCTGAAAGTGCCTACCCCTCCACTTCCCCTAGGTGTTAGAAGTGGGGCCAGGCTAGGTTAGAGAGGAAGGGATGGAGAGCATCAAGATAAAGAAGGAAAGGAGAGGGAGGGAAGTGATGTTGGGAGCAAGAAAAGTTTGTGCAGACCTGTTTTGGTAGTGCCGGCCTTTAGTTTCAGCCTTCAGCCTCAGGATACAATTTTGAGGCCACTCTGGCCCCCTTCATAGTGAGACCCTATTTCAAGAAAATGCAAAAGAAGTATGATGAGGCCGGAAGTTGGTGGCGCACACCTTTAATCCCAGCACTATGAAGGCAGAGGAAGGCGGATCTCTGTGAGTTCGAGACCAGCCTGGTCTACAAGAGCTAGTTCCAGAACAGCCTCCAAAGCCACAGAGAAACCCTGTCTGGGAGGGGGTTGGGGGAAGCACACCGAGGGGGAGTGGGTCATTTTCGTCTTAATTCTTAGACTTCTCATTTCCCCAACAGGAGTCGCAAGCTGCGAGTTCTGGATCTGCGGCCTTTGCACAAGGACTTCTGGAACGTATGGGCTGGAGACAAGGCAGGTGCCCGCTCCCTCGAGGGGAAACATAAGAGAAGAACACAGGCCAGAGGTCCAAGGATGGAGGGCGAGAAGCCCTTGACGGTGTTGATAGACCTGTACCTCAAGTCAAGTGCCCCGGATGTATGCCTGTCCTACCTCTTCCTGTGGGTGCAAGGGAGGAAAGGTTTGGTGCAGCTGGGCTGTAAGAAGCTGAAGATCTCCACGGTAGCTACCCAGAGCATCGTGATGTTTCTGGAGATGCTGGACCTGGACTGCATGGAGGAAGTGGAAGTGTGCTGCACCTGGAATCTGCCCACCCTGGCCGACTTCGCTCCTTACCTGGGCCAAATGAGAAACCTACACAAGCTCCTTCTCTCTCATGTCTGCGTGCCTGCCTCCATTTCCCCCAAGGAGCAGGGACAGCTGCTCAGCCAGTTTACCTCTCAGTTCCTCAAGCTGGAGTGCCTCCAGGAGCTCTCCCTGGACTCCATCTCCTTCCTCGAAGGCCACATGGACCAGATGTTCAGGTGAGGGAAGATGGAGAGCTTTCCTTGAAGACCACCGCAAGGCCTTTTCCTTGCTGGAACGATGTGGTGGTGTAGCTAGAGTTGGGGTTTTCTGCTCTAACAGTGGGGTGAGGAGGTGCAGCAGGGCTACGGGCTGAGCTAGTCACCCAGTGATGGTGCTGGTCCTGGGGTTAGAGGAGAGTAGTTTGAGTGAGCAGACTCTGGGAGGCAGCATACTGGGTATTGACCTTTATTGGGTGACCAGAATGACTATAGAACAAATGATCCAACCTGTGGTGCCCATGCCACGAGCAAAACCAATGTATCGGTGGGAAGCCTGGAGACTTAAATCAATCCACGCTCATAACCGAGGGCGATCTCTCAGGTTCCTCTTTCTTTCCCGATCCCAGTGGAACCTCCACTTGGGGCAACTGCTCCATGAGCAAATCCAATGTATCGGGTGAAAGCCTAGAGATTTAAATTAAAAACAAGACATCCGGCCTTTCGTGCTAAGAGTGTGTGTGTGTGTGTGTGTGTGCGCGCGTGCCCTTTTGCGGGGGGGGGCAGCCTTATATACAGACTTACAGCACAGTGGAAAAACCCCAGGTATAAGAACTGGTGTTTTCCTCATACTAGATGTTGATGTCAGTGGGGCAAGGCTGGGACTCTAAGCCAGGACCAGAGAAGAGGATGCACCTGCGGTTATTGGCTGACAAACAACTCAAGAGACCTCGTGGGGGCTGGAGCGCAACATCCGCCCTGCCCCAGGACTCCCTAACTCACCACCACTACTTGTAAAAAAGACTAACTTCTTGTCTCTCCCTAGGTGCCTGGAGGCCCCCTTGGAGATGCTCTCTATCACTGACTGCCATCTTTCAGAATCAGACCTGCAGTCCCTGGCCCAGTGTCCAGGCGTCCGTCAGCTCAAACACCTGAACCTAAGTGATGTCTTACTGACCAACATAAGTCCTGAGCCCCTCCGAGTCCTGCTAGAGAGAGTCGCAGCCACCCTGAAGACCCTGGACTTAGAGAACTGTAGGATCGTGGACTCTCAGCTCAGTGTCCTCCTGCCTGCTCTGAGCCTCTGCACCCAGCTCACCACATTCAACTACTTAAAGAATCCCATTTCTGTGGCTAGTCTGGAGCGCCTGCTCTGCCACACTGCCAGGCTGAGCCGCTTAAGCCTGGAGATGTATTCTACCCCCTGGGAGATTTATGGTGCCCAGGGTACGTCTCACCACAAGCGGCTGGAGCAGCTTCGTGAGGAGCTGAACAGGACCATTAAGCCACTGGAACACACCAGGACAGTGTGGTTCAGCATCATTCCCTGTCGGCCTTGTGACAACCAAGCTGATTGAGTCAGAGCCCAAGCTGCACTTGGGCTACGGTCCTATCTAGCTGGGTACTCGTGTGCTAAATGATTCCTTCTAGCTCTTGGAAGCAGATTTCTTATGGGATGGGTGACTCCTGAAGATAACATGGACCCGTGATCTTGGGTGTGTGTGGGGGGGAAGGGGGAGGGGGAGGGGGGGTCAGGCAGCAAAAGCAACCTGAGAAAAATGTTGACCTACGGAATTGATGGGACCTTCAGGACAGGTGTATTCAGAAATAAAAGGCGAAGTTTCTAGAATCTAGATGAAGAAACACTTGTGAGGGTGTTGACTGTGTTGTGGGCCAGGATAAAGCAATGGCCAGTGTTTCCCCTCCCCCCCCTTCATGCTATAGGGTGAGGAGAATAGATCGTGATGGTTGTTGCAGCTTTGAAGGCCTAAGTAGCCACCAGCAGCTACTACCTTCATCTAATCTGTATCTCTGAGCCCTAGAGAGTTTGGCCACCATCAGTCCCATCCATCCTAGAAGGCCACGGTTCTGCCGAGAGGGCATTACAGATTTTGGATAACTTCACCAAGACAATGAAAAAGAGCTGTCAGATGGTGCTGAGCATCACCACAAAGTGGGGAGGGACAGGCTTAAACTTTAAGTGGGCAACAACTGTATACCATACTTTGAAAATCAGTAGAGCAAGGCCAGGAGGTGTTAATCCCAACACTTGGGATGCAGGAAGATTTCTGCCTTTGAGGCCAGCCTGGTCTGCAGAACTAGTTCAAGGACAGAAAGGGCTGCAGAAAGAAACCCTGTCTTGAAAAACCAAACAAGTAAAGCGGATGTACAGTACATTTAAGAAACATCTTCATTGGTCTTCAGGGACCTAGGTCACGGCTGACTACCATAAAGCAGACCCATATCATCTGACCTGTGTTGGGTCTACGGCCATTAGAGAGTTTTGGATTTGAGTGACTGGTCTATTGCACTGTGGGTGGGTGGTTATTAGTAATAGTACTGGGGGATTAAACATAGGACCGTGCATGCTAGACAAATGCTCTAATGCTATGAACCTTTAAGAATTGCATTGCACTGCTCTGTCATTAATAAATGTGTGACAAAGAAATCAAGAAGTCTTTTGTTCTGTTTTTTTGTTGTTGTTTGTTTGTTTGTTTTTGAGACAGTCTCTCTACATAGCCCAGGCTGGTCTCAGACTCTCAGAGATCTGCCTGCCTCTGCCTCCCAAGAGCTGGTATTAAATGCCTCATCACCACCAGCAAGAAGTCTTGGCATGTGTAATCCATACTGGGATTTGAACTCTGGATCCTCCTGCCTTAACCTCCATCACCGCAAGTGTCTGGACTATGAGAGTGATTCCCCCACTCTTGGCTTGCAATGTGATTTCAGTAATTCTCTTCCATTCTCAACTTCTCTCTTAGGCATCTGGGGTCATTCTCTGAGTTTATACACACATGTGCAATGAAGAGCTACTCTCCAGAGTAGTTTATTTGGGAGTAATAGAATTGCAGCCTAAGATGCGCACACTTGGCCAACATAGGTGTATCCAAGGGGATGTGTTTAAAGGGCAGAGAAATGCAAGATAACCCACTGTGTAGCCGGGTGGTGGTGGCATACACCTTTAATCCCAGCAGTTGGGGAGGCAGAGGCAGGTGGATCTCTGTGAGTTCCAGACCAGCCTGGGCTACAAGAGCTAGTTCCAGGACAGCCTTAAAAGCCACAGAGAAGCCGGGTGGTGGTGGCATACACCTTTAATCCCAGCAGTTTGGGAGACAGAGGCAGGCGATCTCTGTGAGTTCGAGGCCAGCCTGGTCTACAGAGTGAGTTCCAGGACAGCCTCCAAAGCCACAGAGAAACCTTGTCTCGAAAGAATAAAAAAGAAAAGCCGCAGAGAAATCCTGTCTCGAAAAAAAAAAAACAAAAAACAAACAAACAAACAAAAAACAGATACCCACTGTGGGAACTGTGGGAGAAGGTTTACCGGTTGCAGGGACTTGTGGCAAGAGTTGGTGTAGCAGAAGTTCTAATAGATCTTAATAAAAACAAAAAAGAAACAGAGTCAGCAGGATAAATGCTGAAAATTCAGAGAAGTAAAGGAGTCACAGAGAGACCTCTTACCTCTACTGAATCCTCAGACTGAAGGCAATTGTAAGCGTTTCGTCGGGATGGGTCAGGACAGGATGGAACAGGAGTGAGTGGGTCAGGTATTCTGACACTCGGGAGTCACAGAATACCCAGTGTTACACAGCTCAGGTGGAAAGGTATCCTGGAGCTCGGGAGCCAAGGATACTGAGTGTTACACAGCTCAGGTAGAAAAGTATCCTGGAGCTCGGGAGCCAAGGACCACCACGGGTTGCAGTAAGCTTGGCAGCTTACAGCCTTGCCTCAGAGAAAGGCTTCTCCGGTGTGTCAGCTCCGCTCCGGCAGGACAGGGTCTTCCAGCTGGGGATGTTCGCCTAGTGTAGCAGTTTTGCTCCGCAGGAGGTTTCTCGGGCGAAGTTGCTACAGTTCAGCTCTGCTCCTGGAGAGCCGAGAGCGGAGAGCAGGGAGCCGGGCGGGAGCAGAGTGTAACAACTCCGCTCTGCCAAGGAAGGTTTCCCGGGCAAGTGTTACAGTGCTGCTCGCTCCGCTCTGCTCTGCTCTGCCCAGGGTCGCCTCTGCTTGCTCTGCTCTGCTCTGCCCAGGGTCGCCTTTGCTCTGTCGCAGCCGCAAAAGAAGATCTTCACCCGAAGCTCATCCAAAGGTGTTTATTGGAAGACAGCTGGACCAGCCAAGCTGAACATACACAGGGTTTATATAGGGGTTCCTGGGGTTGGGGAAGTTTTTCCAGGGTAGGGATTGGTCCGATTTCAGTGCTGAGCTCAGATTGGCTAGAGCTCTGCTCCGGGATTGGTTACTTTTTTACACAGGATTAGGGTCAGATTTGGCTCTGGTTTCAGGGCCAAAGTGTGTTTCTTTCTCTGGTCCTTTTTAGCCTTTTGGCTCCAATTTTAGGGCCAGGGTACATTTCTTTCACTGACTCTGATTCCAGGGACAAAGTGTGTTCCTTTGGCACTGGTTTTAGGGTCAGGGTACATTTCTTTGGTTCTGGTTGCAGGGCCAAAGTGTGTTTCTTTGGCTCTGCTCAGGGTGTGTTTCTTTGACTGGTCCCTTTTCCCTACAGCAATGAGCTCCTGTCCCCTCCCACCTCATATTCCTCTCTCCATCCTACCATATCACACCTGTCTCCACCTCCCTAGTGCTGGGATTAAAGACATGTGATTCCCAAGTACTGGGATTATAGGAGTGAGCCATCAGGTTGGTGCTAATTTGGTGATGGCAGCTGTGGTCAAGCATGCAACCCTCCTGAGGGGTGATTATTTGGGACAGGATGATTATTTGGGACAGGGTAGCTCTGAGGAATTCTCACAGGCACAGGGCTTTATATCCCAGCTCCATTTTGGTAGGGTTTAACATAAATGAGTCCATGTGAATCCACTAGGGTGCACACAAACCCTTCCCACATGTGGAGAGGACTCCCAGCTAGCTAGAGCCTCTAGACCTCTGGAAACCATGCCTCAGGTCCTACCGGATTGCAACCCTTCTTGGCCCAAACTAGTTATGACTGGTAAAGATAACTAGATTCTCTTTGAATCAAATACTAAGATCACCCGGGTATGGAACACTTTATTAAGAGTTCTTGTTGTAGTCCTAGCACTCAGGAGGCAGAGGCAGGCGGATCTCTGTGAGTTCAAGACCAGCCTGGTCTACAAGAGCTAGCTCCAGGACAGCCTCCAAAGCCACAGAGAAACCCTGCCTCCAAAAAACAAAGAAAAAAAAAAAAAAGAAAGAAAGAAAGAAAGAAAAGGTTCTTGTAGAAAATCATTTTAAGGTGTGTTACTTTTGTTTAACTCTGTGACACTGATTCTTTGCCTGTCTAAAACACCTGATGGTCTAATAAAGAGCTGAATGGCCAATTGAGAGGCAGGAGAATGGATAGCCAGGACTGGCAGACAGAGAGGATAAATAGGAGAAATCTGGGAAGAAAAGGAGGAACAAGAGAATAAGGAGAGGAAGAAGCCAGGGGCCAGCCACCCACCCAACCAGCCACCCAGCCACCCGGCCACCCAGCCAGTCACCTGGCCACCCACCCACCCAGCCAGCCACCTAGCCACCCACTCACCCAGCCAGCCACAGGTTAAGAATGAAAGTACAATATACATAAGTAAGAAAGAAAGGCCCAGAGGCAAAAGGTAGATGGGATAATTTAAGATAAGAAAAACTGGCAAGAAACCAGCCAAGCTAAGGCTAAGGCCTGGCAGTTATAAGAAATAATTAATTTCCACATGGATTTATTTGGGAACTGGGTGACAGACCCTCCCAAAAAAGACCAAAGAGTAAAGAGCTCTAGAGTTAAAAAAAAAAAAAAGATAAGTTCTACCATGGGACTTGATCATATCAATGAAAAATCTTTCTAAATAATATGTTCTTCCACTTAACTATCAAGAAAATAGACCTTTAGATGGGTGGTGGTGGTGCATGCCTTTAATCCCAGCACTCGGGAGGCAGAGGCAGGCGGATCTCTGTGAATTCGAGGCCAGCCTGGTCTACAAAGCCAGTGCCAGGACAGCCTGGGGTACACAGAGAAATGCTGTCTCAACAACAAAACAAAAGAAGGAAACAAGGTGCCTGTGGTTAATTGTGGCTCAAAATAAAGGATTCCTGCTGAGTTCCCCAGCTGAGTCCTGATGGTTATGGGTGGGGGACCTGAAGGCTGAGCCTTAGTTTCAACATCAAATGAGGACGTTGAACCGCACTGAGATTGTGAGCCCTTCTGGGGGGGTCAATGTACTAATGCATGTTTGGGCCTTGGTGTACACTGAGAGCTCAATAAATGCTTCTCTATCCCTTCTCCATGCCTCAGTTTGCCCTGTTTCTGATAGACAAAAGGAAGGCCAAGGCATGAGAACAGAATGGGATGGGAACTTTACATGTGGCCACCATTAAATCACTACTCACCCCCAAAGCAGAACACATCCCTCTTTAGTGATCCTAAGAAAAATTTACAAACTGTGTTGTTTGACCGCCACCTTCCGGTAGGCCAAACCAAATGGTGTAAATTAACTTTATGGTATTAAA